ATATAGTTCTCCATAATTGAATATCCAGATATTATACTGGAGAAAATTGCTTATATGTCTTCAAAAATAGTTTTTCTAAATTGAATTTCTAGACCTTAGTGTGGATCAATGTCAATGTTTTGTCAAAAACTGAACTTAAGGCCTCCAGTTATGACTGCTCAAGATCTTCTAGCTTTCCTGATCTGAAGCTTCGAATGATTGTCACAAAAAAGGTCAGAAAATTGATTTAATAAAAACTTCAAAAACTCAAAGTTTTGGCTTCTATAGTAGAGCGATATCAATGGTTTGCCATGAGTTCCATATGTTGAAAAAGAGTGCTCGAACTCTTTTAGTTTCCGAGAAATGAAAAATTTTGTTCGTTTTTCAAAAATATAAAAAATTGAGTTTAAAATAATTTTTTCTCGAAACGTGAAAATCCCGACTCTATGTTAGAGCAATCTCAACGTTTTACCGTTAATTACATATGTGACCTTCAAAAATGAGTCTCAAAACCTCATTGTTCCGACATATGGCGTTTTTTCTTGAGAGTTTGCGAAAAAAAAACTGATTTAGAAAACATTTCTCCAAGGTCGAATTTTTCCAACATATAGTGGGGCAATGTTACAGTTGTGTTTGATATTAAATACACTGAATTAAAAAGCTGCTGGCAACAAATGCTATAGGCACGAGCTGAACAACTAGGCCAAACAAGTATCTGATTTATGAATTTACTGATTATACAAAAAACTTAAGACTTTCAAGAAAAGTAAAAATTTTCAGTTTTAGACTTTCGAAAAAAAGAAAGTTTTATTCTTACAAACTATTTTTTTTCGATTTTCGAATTTTGGACTGTTACAAACCTTCGTATTTTCGAATTGAGCCAGATTTTGAAGTGCAGCTAGATTTTGCTAGTAGTTTCAAGATTTTAAGGATCTGTCGCGGTAATCTTGAAACGTATTTGATTAATGTTTGTTTTTTCTTTTCTCAATAAACTAATAAATGTAATGCAACAATCTTCAAAAAGATGCTTTTATAGTTGAACTTCCTCTTTAACTTTTTCATTTGATAGACTGGACCAGACTTTTTTATGAGGCTAAAAACCGTTAAAAAAATTTGGGGCCAAAAACCGTAATTTTTTTAACAGCCTAAAAGAAACTACCCTTCGGTAATCAAGTTCTTCAAGTTTCTCTTCCCTTTTTGTTTGTCCAATTTTGTTCCTCTTTCAAATTGGGTCCGTTGTTGCCATTTTTTTCGGTTTTAAATCAGATTGCAGATTTCAATCCAATTTTACAGAAAACTATTTTAGTATGGGGCGAGCAGCATCGTTTTTCTGCAAGATCCCGCCTCTAAAAATCATGCGTCAGCGTACGGAAAAAAGTCCGCAGGATATGAAAATTTTTGTATTTCTCCGACCGTTTATTTTGGGTTTTTTTTGAATTTCTTCACGCCATCAGTGGTTTACAATGCTTAAGAAACTTAGAAATTTTAAAACCAAATCGCTAAATATTTTCGAATTTTTCCAATTCCGCTGTTCTGATCAAGTTGTTTTCCTTCACGCATCTTCTTCAGTATTTGGCTGTAAAAGAACCTTGATATCTGCCAAAACTGTACAAAAAAATAGTAATGGGCTGGCATAGCTTAATGTGTTGCTGGCAAAGTTTTTTTCGAGGCCAAGGTTGAAAAGTTGAATTAGGGGAACTATTCTCATGCGCGCAAGACCGAATGCGCGCGAAAAATCGAAATACCGAATGCGCGGGGAATTTGAGATCTGATTAGTTGATAAAATTCTTTAGATGATTTTTTTGCTTGTGAAGGATTCCCTTTACTTTTCCTTTGAATTAGAACTGATTCAAAGTATTTCTCTGCCAAATTACTTCTGAAGGAGATGGAGGAATTTAAACAGTTTTTTGAAGACTCATTTTTTTTGCATTCATCCGATCTTGGGCTCTCGATTGGTAATAATATAATAACTAGTGAAAGTCAAGCGCAATAAAATTCTACAGCTCCCGAGCTATCCGAACAAAACGAACAACAGTGCAAACTTTAAACGCGTTTCTCTCAAATTGGAATAAAAATTAGGCAAAAAAATGAAGAAAGAATTTTTTTCTCCGGAGTCATTTTTGAGCAAAATCAACAATTATTTATTTAAAAAGACACAATGAATAATAAGAAGATAGACGCACGGCAAAATAAATACCCACTGAGCGTCTACTCTTGAAAATTCATATTATAAACGTTGCTTGATTATAAATCTATTAAAGCAAAAATTTTGAAAGCAAAAAGTAATAAAATAAAACTTATGCTGAGGAGAATCCTAAATTTGTCAAAAATTAACAACTATTTTAAGGCTGTACCACATTGATTCATTATCGAACATTCTCGCCGAAAACTGAAGACAATAAAGTTTTCCAGAACATTTTTGGTGCAATTTAAATTGTAAAATTCGGAACCAAAATTTTACACCTAAATGGGTCTTTTTGCTTTTTATTGATAATCAAAATTTACGCTGAAACTACCAAATAATTTGACCAGAAGTTAATAAAAACCTCTTACAAAGACCGATAAATAAGGGTGAAATCTCCAGAAAACTGTATAAGAACTCATATCGATGAAGTTTCAAATATATTTTGAAAGAACTGAAAAAGCAAAAAAATATATTTTAAGAACAAAATTGATTTTTGATATCAATTTTTATCGAGATGAATACTTACGGCTGGAAAAACTTATACTCCGATTTTAATTCATCCTAATTTGCCAGCTAAATGTTACTTTGCTCGAACAGTGGAACCAGCGAACAGGCCGCTGGCCTAATGTTGCATACTCGAAGGTGTGCCATGATACTATTTGTTCCGATCACTTCACTAAGTGGTTAAGAAGAGGCACTGTGTTTTCGGAAAAATTTTGACTACTTTTAAAGAAAGCTAATGGAGAATCAAGTAAAATATCATATTGGAGCACTTTCAACCATGATCTGGTTTCCAAAAAAAAGTTTTTAATCTATTTCAGCGGCTAGAAAATTTAGTCTGTTTTGTTTTTGGCATTTGAGATCAACTGGATGAGTGTGAAATTGATAATACTGAAATTGATATCGCCCAATTTAGTTATTAACCAACTTTTTTGTTCTTTTACGATGAGTTACATCACAACAAGGCATTTTTTTAATCTATTTTTTCATTTCTTTCTTAAATCTTTGTGCTCGGCTCAGCTTCTGCCTCTGCTACTTGCATTCCAACTGGTATGTTTTGAACTACATTGTTCCTGTTTTGAGTTCTTTTGTCTCGTAAATTAATTGAAAATGATATTGAAATAAGTTTACAGAACAATAAGATCTTTAAGCTGCGTCTTTTTTTTCTGATTGCCTTATTTTGGAAAACTTGTAAAAAGCAAAAAACATAGTCGCAATTTTCATTGAAATTTATTTTCTGGGCTGTGATAGTCAATACCCAAACGGTTGTTCATTTTACTTTATCAAGCCGCTCGCCTAATGTTTTCCACTCGAATTTTTGCTATGATATTGTGTTCCGATCACTTCATCAATTGGCTAAGAACTCCGGCTTTCTGTTTTCTCCGATCAATTTTGACCACTTTATAAAAAAATTGTGGAGAATTCAAGCGTAATGTTATTTTGAAAATCTTTGAGTCATCATTCGGATTTCAAAAAAAATTTTCAAAAAAGTTGTTTCTGTGTTGAGGAAATGGATCTGATTTTTTTTTGAATTTTGGACCAACTGGATGAATGTGAAATTTGCGGTACTGAATTTGATGTCGCCCAATTTAGGTATCATTCACTGTTACTCGTTATTTTATGATTAATTTCATCTCATTTTTGCAGTTTCTTGCAAAAAAAAATCATCAAGAAATTAAAAGAAAAAAAAAGTTTTGCACTTTTTATTTTGCACTTCCACTGTCTGGTGAATTAATTATAAGTTTAATACGTTTATATTAGTGTAACAAATTTGTTTGACAATAGCTGCTTCACAGCTGCATTTTTTCTGATTGCTTCATTACTGAAGTCTTTTGTTTTATCTGCTTCATCAGCGAAGTCTATTGTTTTTTTCTTAACCCAGATTGAGTTAATCAACTAAACCATTAAAGCTTTTTTGAGCTTGAGACCAATTAGACCAGCATATTGAAGAAAGTTCAGCTTTTGAGAAGTTTTTTATGCAAACACGACATTGTTATTTCTTTTGTTTTGTTTTCGTGACCAGTCCACCAATTTCAGTTGTTAATTGGTAACCGCCCCTTTGGAGGTTAACTTGGGTTCGTGTTCTTCTAGTACTCTTTGGAAATTTTGCCCAAACCGTGCTGGAAATTTAGCATTAGCCTCCGGCCAGCAGACAAATCACAAAATTCAAGTCTAGACTGGTTAAATGATCTGTGAACAATAATTATCTGTTCATGCTGGTTCTAAAGAGTATTTTATTTTCATAGTTTCTTCACAAAAAGTGTTGAAATTTATAAAATATCAGACGTGACACTCGGGGCGTTTCGTTTGTTTTGATTGCAAAATGCAAAAACCACTCTCTGAATGTTTCTAATAAATGTTATTAGATTTTCCCTGAAATGATTAAAAAGTGATAGTTATTGTGGTTTCACCCGTCTGTAAAAAACAAGTTTTCCACACTTGGGTGGTTGATTAAAAAAGGTTTCATTTTTCTTTCCGAGCTCTGATCAAAAAGTTTAATTTTCTTTCAAGGCTAAAATTAAATGGTATTGCAAGGAAAAAACCAAACCAACATAATTTGCATTCAACTGATAATGAAATTTTATTTGATATTCCCAGATGTTAAATTCAATTTGCAAAATTATGAGTTAAATTTCATTTGATTGTTTTTCAGTTTGAGATTAAACTTAGTTGAAGTTGTTTTGTTCACGCGCAGTTGTTTGTTTTTACAAGATAAAATTAAAATAAATATCTTTTTAGGAAGTTATTTCAGCCAATAAAATTGCTTCACATAGGCAATAAAGTACCTTCAGCGCCGGCTTACCATTTAAGAGACTCTTATTTGTTTTCATGCATATTAGCCTTGCACCAATAAGAGAATTTATTCTGCTAGTATTTCCTGGGATTGAAAGTGAAAGTGAATCCTTACCTTAACCCGGTTATTATAACTTAAGCTGAGACATAATAAGACTGAGACAGATTTCGTATTTTTGACCCCTCTCTTATCCGGCCCCTGTCCAAGTGTTTAATTAATCCCCCGCCAACTAACCGGCTGCACTCCAGCGCTGGTCGTCTAGATTTAATTTTCCTAATTCATGCCGATTTGCTATTAGTCAAATCTCCTGGGAACTGATGCTCATGTCAGTTAAAGCCCGCTTTCTTTGAATTGCATTTGTTTTAAGTTGCCAATTTTCCTATTAGGGCAAAACTTTGCCCGTTTAGAGTTTACTCATTAGTGTCTCATTTAAACCACTCGGATGATTAGTTATATGCTGTGCCCATGCATGATCACTTTCACCCTGCTTATTCAATAATTTCAAGTTCCTGTTTCAAGTTTCTGCTGCTAATTATACGCCTTCTTCAGTTTACAGCTAACTAATTCACTTTTTGCTCCACTGAAGTTTGATGACATTTAAAAAAATCACGAGCTATTTTATCAGTTCACAAAAGTCACACAGTATTTGAGTCTGCTCCTACCATCTTTTTGAGATTTATTTGGGACTTATTTATCTAAACTCTACAGACATTTAGAAAACCAATTTAACCATATTTCCAATCCCTAATTTAGCAAATTATTTTCTTATCTTTATTTTTGAATTATTAGCGATAAGAAATTCTGATAGCTGATTAACTTTGCCTAAACAGTTTTGCTTACGTTTTGTAGCTGAATGATCGTTTTTAAATTAAAATCAAATTTTTGAAATGAAAATCACTTTTCTCAAAGTTCATCGTCGTAAGAAGTTATCGCCGCGGGAAGATGCGAGAAATGGCAACACTTCGAGTGATAAAGCTTCTGTCCCTGTGCCGAAATATCTCTCGTGGAACGAACGACGTCTCGTGCGCAAATCGTGGAAGAAAGCCGAGAAGGTAGTCGTGGATGCAGGTGTTGAAGTGTTCATCAAGTAAGTTACATATTTTATAAAACTATTCGTTATAAAATTACTTGCTGAGCTGAGAAGAACTCGCTTTGATCGCAAAATTTTGAAATCGAATTTATTTTTGCCGGGCAATCTTTAAAGACTTCTCAACCCTAATATCTAAAAAAAGACTTTTTTCATTTCTTGCTTTTCCGTGTTAATTTTTGACTGTAAGATAAAGTAAAAATTAACTGAAGTTTTAGTTAGTATCCTAGATTACCATTATTATGTAGACCCTTTTTAAAAGTATTTTCCATTATACCCCCCCCCCCCCCCTCTGTAAATTTCCATTGTAAATTGCAGCTAGTGTGCTATGATGAGGATTAATCACTCTTTTCTACGCAACAAATTCTTTCTTCACGTTTTTATTGTTTTTTCTGCGATTATTCAAAATATAGGGTTGAAAATATGTCACAATGCAAAATGAAACTGTCTAAAAAAAGGTTACCGGATCAAAATTTGAAAATTTGGTTTTCAAGGCGTAAAGTAGCCAGTATCTCATTACTAAATTCAAAGATTTCATGTTGTGAAACCATCCTTGCAAACAGCCCATGAAGTTTGAATTTATGGGCTCAAATTGGCTCGTTGGGAAGTTGATGCGCTCCATTTACTCTAAATAACAGACACAACAATCAGAAGAAGCTGATCCGGCGTCAAAAACAACTAAAAATAGTAATTTTGCGCCGATGATCGAAATAAGCCAATAAACTAACTGTCCCAGCACATGTTGAGGAAAACTGACAGTTCTGAGCTAGTCACAGGATCTTCATAGGGAGTTATGTTCTCTCCTAATGTCTCTTTTTTACAACAGAAACGATAATGTTTTACCTGACTTAGGAAATCGTTTCATTATTTTGTCTGTCGTTTTTCAATGGTACAAAGAGTAAGTCTAGCTCATCAACTTCACAAGAAATCAATTTGAGCCTAAAAATTTAAATTTCATATGTGGTTTGCGAATATGTTTCCGCTGAAAGTGAAAGTGAATCCTTACCTTAACCCGGTTAAGAACACCTCTGAAATTCCTTTCAATATACTCGATAAGTAAGGCCTTGAAAAGGAAGTTTTCAATTTTGATCCGGCCAGCTCTTTAGAAAAGTTTTTCCCACAATATGACAATTTTTTAACCTGATTTAAAAAATAATTGCAAAGAAAACGGCAAAATGTGCAGAAAAATGGTTCATTTGCTCGTTGAAAGCGAAAAGGTGGAACTTTTATGTCTCGTGACTGGTATCAATTTAAAAACTCAATACAGACTCACTTTTAAAATGATTTCGTGGTTAACAAAAAAGTGCTATCATTTTGACGTTTAAAATTTATTTCAATTTGAGTAATTTTGAAAGTTTTCTTCAGCGCTGAATTTGAAGGTTTTGAGGACAGTACAAAATTTTTTAATTAAATATAATTTTTTAAAATTTTCTTATTACAAATTATTATCCATTAAAAAATTTTAACAAGACGCAGAAGTCAATGACTTCCAGTTTTTTGCCAGTTCTGGCTTTTTTCCATAATAATTATTCAAAACGTGAAATTTTTTTGATGATGCCCTGCAAACGGTAGGTTTGTGTCACCATACAAAAATCAATAAATTTTTATCATCAAATTAGGGGTAGAACATCAAAGGATTACACGCACAAACGAAACATTTGTTATAAGAGAAATTTTTGAGTATAGATTCTAGAACAGGCATCACCATTCTTGTATCAAATTCTTTCCTCGGCAGACGTGAAAAATTGGAAGTCTCTTTGAGTTAGTTCTGTAACTTGCAAAATTACCGCACCTTTACTGCCTATGTCGGCCAATAATATTTTGACGCATTGCTTGAATCCTTTTTCATGACAAAAAGTAGGTATTTGGGGCAATTGGCGTCTACACATGTATCATTGCCTTAGTTACGGTTCGATAAACTGAACTGAATGATGGCAGTTATGTTTCTCACTATGATTTTGTAAAATTTGACTATTGAGATAAACGTTTAAAGTTTTCGTAGATTTAGTTTTTGTAGTAAAAAAATTATGAACTAAGAAATGCGCAGTTAAAAATCTGTTCTACCTTTCTGATTTGCACGGCCAATTCTTCATCTCAAATTATTCAATTTTCAAATGAACTCAGCTAATGTTTCCAAAAAAATAACACACATAAGTCACAATGCTTATGGGAAAAGTCAACAAAAGTTTTTTTGTGCAGACTATTACCAGTTCGTTATAGTAGAGATTTTGAGTATATATTATAAAACAGACACCACTGTTCTCGTATCAAATTCTATCCTTGGCACTCTCGGCTGTTTTTCGTCAAAAGTTTTCGACTTTCAAGCTGAACATGTGAAACAAAGTTTTTTATACTATTTTAAATATGTTGATGCTTTTGTCGCAGTAACAACAAGATATTTTGTCTGTATTTTTTTCTAGTGAAATTTCAAATTACCAATTCGGGATAAGTAATATTACTTTTCTGTCAACGGATAGCGCGTGAAGAGAATTACCCCGGCTCGGAAACTCAATCATTTTATTCCACTTGTGTTTGAGGTAAGTTGATTAATGCAAATAACTGATCTGGCTAACTATTCATCCCCACTAAAGTTCCTAAGACAGAATTGCCACTCCGATAACGAAGTCATTCAACTGATAAGCGTATGCGACTTTTTACCTTGCAACGAGTTCCCGCTTTTGCAATAGGTGGAAATAGTTAGCAAGATCTCAGATTATCTGTTTCTCGATTAACAAAATATGCAATTTGATCTTTACATTGCCTATGTACAGAAAATTTAGCAAAAATAGAAAAAAAAACTTCAAATAAAAACAACAATAGATTTTTATAGAAAAATCGTAAATTGAACGCTCTGCTTTTATGCGAGCACCCGGTGCTAGGGATTTTAGCATACGGGTTTTTTAGCAGACCAATCTCTGGCAGACTCAGAACGGTTATAAAATCAGATAGCTAACTTCAAACGCGGCATTGGCGATTAGCGACTGCTTGCCCTGCCGCGCTTCAGTTCAACACGAGTGTTATTGTGGGCGTAAACCTTTGTTTTACCGCTAATTTAGACTGTTGTTTTTGAAATTGATAGTTTTGTTGACATATCATGAGATAATTGTCTTAATTGGGAACGCTTGGCCCCAGACTGAGTGTCTTTTTGAGTCTGTCAATCAATCATCCATCACTTTATTAAGTTGGTCTGCTAAAAGACTCATTTTTCACTTTTTTGATAAAAAGTTGGTCTGCTAAACGATCGGTCTCCCGAGCACCCATGTTCTTTTTAAAACTCGAAATTGTTTCGTGCTGATTTGAGCAATCAGTTTATTGGGTCTAGGAATTTACACTACAGCAAATTACACGATCGAAAATTGACTGCTTTTAGACAATAACTCTTTGAGAATTTAGACAATAAGAACTGGGCTATGTTACACAAAACAACAAGACTGCTCGTATCAGGGCGAAGCCCTGAATGTTCCGACTACCTTTTAAGAAATATGGAGCAGCAATAACATAGACAAATAAATGTAACAAAATAGAATGAATTTTTTTTTCTAAAATTTGAAATTTTTTTTTGTGAAAATCATCCCCCCACACGCCATATAAAGAACAAAAGGATAGATTTTGCTCCAATTAACAAATCAATTTTGGCAAATAAGCTTCTTTCAACCAATTTGGTACAATTTCTAAGACTGATTAAATCTTCACTTACGCGTTAATAGCGCGAAATATATCGCGCGTTAATTGTCCCAAATTGGCCAAAATGGCACTCTTTAAACCCCCATAACTTTACAAAACCTGATCATAGGTTAGTTATCTTTTCCAATTTAAGCTTGGGACAACAATACCTTTTGAATGATATAAAAAAATTCCGTCAAAAATGACTAGTTGAAAAGTCGAAATTTGTCTGAAGAAAAAAACCCACCCCGAGCACAATTATTCCGTTACTTCCGTTACGAAAGTCGGAACAAAATTAGTATGTTATCGCAACCGATCAACATTTCTGGTATAGTTTTTTATAAAACAAAACAGTACATTTTTGAAATGCAATAATTGCACAACTGTGATACTTATAACTTGATTTGCTAATGAAAAACCAGTGTTCAATCAATCAAAGTGTAAATCGAGTCTGTAAACGATTCTCACGCAATATGCACGCAAGTTATCGTCTAAGTTCAGTTACTTTCAAATCTACAAATTTGCTTGTCTTATAATTTTCTAAACCCACATTTTATCATGTTTCAGCTCAGCAGATTCGCTCAAAGTAAAAATTTAAAGGTTTTTTGAGTACCAATTAGTCATAAAAAGCCCTGCTTTAAATTAAACGCTCCTGGCTGGAGTTTCCTTTTGTTATGAATACAATTCTACCAAAGTTATTGCAAAATGAAGTCGATTTTGTATTCAAATGGGAGTGTATGTTCCCTAAACTACACAAAAGCAGTCATTTGTCTGAGAAAAAGTACCGGTTTCGTGTTTAACGGACCAATTATATGTAGAATTTTAGAATATTATTATGAAAGGCTACTTTTTCATATCAATTATTTTTAGCGATACTAATATAACGCCATATGGCGAAAGTGGGATATTTTTAACCAAGGGCAAAAATTCATTGAGAGTATTCAAAAAAAAACTTAAGTTTTCTGACTTCAAATTTTCATATGATTATAATTTTACTAAAATTGTGTATGTTTTTGCTTTGAAAATAAGAGATTATAATCGATTACTAATTGATTAAAATAGATTTTTTTTACTATTTTAGTGAAACTGGGTGCGGGTATTTTATCTGTCGAATAAGTTATCTTCGAGAAACTCAGAAAAAAAGCTAAATGACATTTCGATATAGATATTTGTGTGCTGATCGATCTAATTTTGCCATTTAAATCAACCTCATTTTTTGAAGCAAGTCAGAATTTTATCAGAGTTTTTGTGGTCAGAACTTTATCAAAGTCCCAGCGAAACGTTAGGCATAAAAACAAACCAGTTCTACAATTAGCTCAGTAAGCTCACTGAGACAT